GTGGTCCTATTGTATACCGAGTGATCATTAACATTTACTTTGATATTTAGGAGATGCCTGAAGTGCAGTTCAATCAATTAAGCACGGATGATGAAGACAGTGCAGTGTGTTATGACAGAGGGATTTTACTACAAACTATCACACAAGCACAAGTCCAGCACACAGTCCCTTTAGACGTTACTGTTTGTCATGGTTCTGGAATTATTAGTGCTCCTAATAATGACCCTGAAGCTTCAAGAGCTAATCCAAATGAAGAAACAGAGGATACAAAATGCCGCAGTTCAGTTTTGTCCAGTGACTTTGACCAAACAAGATTGTTTGGTGGAGACACAGGCACTGATCTTGACATTACGTGCTCACAGCAAGAAGTATTTTTTCGCGATTATCCTGCACAGCTATTGTCATCTGAGAGCTTGGAGCAAAGTGGTAAAATGGACAGCAAGTCTTTCCTTATGTCACTTGGGTCAAAGCCTTCATCAACTCAAACACATGAAGTGATACAACACACCAAGGATTATATGACACCCACTACCATTAGCAATGCTTATTGCAAGAGGCAGCCTTTAGGCGATATCACAGATGTCCAGAGTGCCATGAAAACAAGTCAAGGAGGTGGAGACCAACAGTCAAATGTTGATGAAAATGTGGAATCAACAGCCTGTCATAGTTACAAAGGTCTTGAAAACTCTGTATCAAAAACAATGCGAAGAAGCATCTATGAGCCTTTGGGCATAGATGTCACATCTTGTTATGGCCCAGGAGCTGATCAAACTGAGGTAAATAATACAGATAACACTGAATCCCTGGACCTAACAGCTTGTCAAGCACAGGAAGAACACGATTCTGATGAGAATCTGGAACTAACAGCCTGCCATAGCTACGAAGTTCTTGATAGCAGTATACCAAAAACACACCAGAAGAGCATTTGTGAACCCGCCGAGCTTGACGTCACATCTTGTTATGGTCCAGGGGTAATCAAGGGCTGTTCACTTTCACTGTCTACCCATCAGAATGATCAGAGTTTGTCCTGCAACAGTTCAAGGAAAATGGATTCTTCAGTGTTCTTGCAGTCTCTTGGTTCAAAGCAACACTCCAATGCTACAGACAATGACGAATATGATGACGAAATGGACCTTACAATATCTGGAAACATTGGGACACTAACAGAAGGTAAAACAGAACAAAAGACAGCTGTGGAGCCGAAGTCAGCGACTTTTTTGTGCGCTAAAACAAGCGAAGTTGTGACAGATCTGTCAAATTCCACTGGCTTTCGAAATGCTTATCTCATAAAGAATCCCTTTAAAAAGACCACAGACCAGCAGGAACAAACATCAAAGTTTCATGAAAACTTAGAGCTAACGGTCTGTCATAGCCAGCCGGTTCTGGACAGCGATTCACAGAGAACTAAACGGAGGAGTTTGTATGAGGCAGCTGATCTAGAGGTCACATCTTGTTATGGTCCAGGCCTGATAAAGTCGCCAGAAAAAGAAGAAACAAGTAATAACTTGTTCAAATCAGCCTTGAACCTCTCGAGAAGTTTGCGAGCGGCAAGCAACGCTAACAAGTTAAATGGCAATGCTGTATTTAACAAAGCGCAAGATTTGCCTGGTTGGAATAAAACCCAACAGCAGGAATCAGATTTTAATGACAATTTAGACCTAACAACCTGTCATAGTCGGCCATTCATGGGAAACAACTCACTGAAAACAGACCGGAGAAGCCTTTTTGGGCCTGCGGACATAGACGTCACTTCCTGCCATGGGTTGGGGCTGGTGGAGTCATCGGGTAACAATTTGGAGTTGACAGTCCGTGGCCAACCAGGTCTAGACAATGGTTTACAACAAGCAAGCCGAAGAAGCCTTTGTTATGAACCTGCTGATATTGATGTCACGTCTTGCCATGGTGTGGGGCTGGTCGAGTCATCGGGGAACAGTGTGGAGTTGACAGTCCGTGGCCAGCCAAGTCTGGATGACAGCTTACAGAAAGCAAACCGAAGAAGCTTTTATGAACCTGCTGACATTGATGTCACATCTTGTCATGGCCTAGGACTTGTCAAGTCGTTTGTTGAAACTTCAGAGTCAACAGTCCCTCTTAGCCAGCACGCTATTGATAATAACGCACAAAAAATAAACCGTCGAAGCGTCTATGAACCTGCTGACTTAGATGTCACATCTTGCCAAGGTACAGGACTGGTTAAATCATCTGGTGAAAGTTTAGAACTAACGCGCTGTCATAGGGAACAAGTTCTTGACAACAGTACACAGAAAGTAAACCGACAAAGTCTTTATGAACCTGCCGACTTAGATGTTACATCTTGTCATGGTTCAGGGCTGGTCAAAGCAAATCGTGAAAGTCTACAGCTAACAACATATACCAGTGAGCAAGTTCTTGACAACAACACAGAGAATGGAACTCGACAAAGCGTCTACGAGCATGCTGATTTAGATGTCACATCTTGTCCTGGTCCAGGGCTGGTTAAATCGAATCGTGAAAGTCTACAGCTAACAACATATACCAGTGAGCAAGTTTTTGACAACAACATAGAGAATGGAACTCGACAAAGCGTCTACGAGCATGCTGACTTAGATGTTACATCTTGTCGTGGTTCAGGGCTGGTCAAAGCAAATCGTGAAAGTCTACAGCTAACAACATATACCAGTGAGAAAGTTTTTGACAACAACACAGAGAATGGAACTCGACAAAGCGTCTACGAGCATGCTGACTTAGATGTCACTTCTTGTCATGGTCCAGGGCTGGTTAAATCGAATCGTGAAAGTCTACAACTAACAACATGTATTAGAGAGCACGTTCCTGACGACAACACAGAGAATGCAACCCGACGAAGCTTCTACGAGCGTGCTGACTTAGATGTCACATCTTGTCATGGTCCAGGACTGCGCAAGTCAGATCGTGAAAGTCTACAGCTAACAACATGTACCAGAGAGCAAGTTCCTGACGACAAAACGGAGAATGGAACTCGACGAAGCTTCTACCAGCATGCTGACCTACGTATCACGTCTGGCAGTGAGTCAGACCTGGATAAGACACCAAATGAACCAGTAATAACTGGTAACGCTGGCAAAACACGCTTAAACCTTACAGAAAGGACAGAAGCCAGTTTTCACAGAGTCAGTGCAAACGCATCATTAGACAAGGTAAAAGATTTCCATTATACCGAAGAGGTACTTCAGACTGCAAGAGCCCCAACCGACTCAAATACAAGTTTTGAGTATACAGATTACAGCGCGGACAACGATGAGACATCTGCCCCTGCTGTAGGGTTGAACCAATCAATAGGTGACCAAATAACTAGTGATGTTGACAGACAGTTGTCAATTATTTGCGAAGAATCTGTCAGTGAACTAAGTAAGAAAGAGTTGAGGGAAGACGGGAATGTGACCGAGCTGGAGGAGATGCAGAACACCACACAGTAAGTGTCTATGTTGAACTATGGCATGTGTGTTTATTGTTCAGGGTTCCAGATAATTCTTTAAAGCAAGTTGTCAATAAGGAATTCCAATGGGTCAATTCCCACTGTTCCCACCAAATCACTGTAATTTTCTTTTTATTTGCTGGGTCATGTACATGTAGCTGACCTTGTCGGGTTTTTGACCTGAGATCCCTTACTTATCTGAAACACTGTTATTATACTAAGCCCTGATTGTCCGAACTCATTAATAACAGTTCCGAAAGGACTTTTAGAAGTCCAGATTGTAAAAATTTTGAATTTGTAGTTCGAGAAAATATCCCTCTCCCGTGGAATGGATTTTTTTCTAAGACCCTCCCACCCCTCTGGAAGTTCCAATTAAGCTTCATACATTTCTTTATTGTTTTTGGTCTTACAGAACCCTCTCCCCCCACCCCCAGGAAATTCCAATGAATGAATCCCTTCTGTGGGGTGTGTATGGATATTTTCTGAAACAGCATCATATAAAAGATCCACAGTTTATAAAAACAGCAGTTAGTACCCAGAGACTATTGGTTTGTCTTGCCTTGTAGAGTTTCCTGAGTTACTGACCATTCTGTGGCTTGCTAATTGTGCGAGAAGTTTCATCTTTTTACCACAACTTGTTGTTCACGTGTTTCGTATCAATATGCCTATCTTTTTCCAAAAATAGGTTCGACTAGATATCCCTCCAGGCTATTTTTCTAGACATTACAGGCGCCCGGTAAATTGGGAGTAGCGCAAACGAACGGACGCTGAAAAACGATGGGGTTTAAGTTCGGAAATGTCTCCCCGCCTCTACCAAACCCTTGGCCTTTTTTGCCACCCGTTGTTCTTCGCGCTGCTGCACTTACGCCGAACGCATAAAAAAGGCCATAGCTTAGCTAGATTGTATATCAAACAGAATAGATTCAGTTCCTAAATTAGGTTTAAACCATTGTGTTGAACGCTATTTGTATTAACTAACGGTTGCTTTCCTTTTAGGAGTCCTATCACCTTAAAGAAGTTCCTTGATATCACAGAACTTGCCTTTATTACTGAGGTCAACATGCGCCGGAGTATTGCGCCTTCCAATGTGGTGAGTATTATCACCAGTCCTTTTCGCGCCATGGGACGCATAAGGCCCTGGTGAGTAGAATTAGGTGAAAAATAAAGCAGTCAGCAAAACGTTTGAGAGGGACCCATGGATCAAAATAATGGGGTGCTCTTAAAGCGCATCTTAAAAAGTCAGTACAAAATTGCTTTTAAATTAAAGGAATTT